CCAGTTTCAGGCTCAGCCTTGAACCTCTTTCTCTTTTTGTTCTGCACTCTCTTTCTAGACCATGTCATCAACTACCATAACTTTGAATACTGTCTATGTAAATGGTTCCCAAATATATATTTTACACACCTTTCTTCTTAGCTCCAGATACATATGTCCAAATGTTAACTAGACATCTCCTCTTGTATGTTTCATGCACACCTCCAATTCAACATGTACAAAACCACACTCATCACTCTAAACTGGTCCTCCTCTGTATTTACTAATCCCAAAGAATAACACCACTTTCTACCCTAATGCATAAGCCAGAGACACGTGAATCATTTTTATTCCTCCCTTTCTTTCACCCTGTATATATAATGTATAACCAAGTATCCTTAATCCATCTGCTTCTTTCCATTCCACTACCACTTCTTTAGTCCAAGCCACGATAAACTCTTTCTATTATTTCCTAACTTGTCAACCTTTTATAATTCTTGCATGCTTACAGCTGCGGGAATGCTAATAAACATAAAAGGAACTGTGTATCCTCCTTACACCCTTCAGTGGTTTGCCATTGATCTTAGAATAAACTTCAAGACCTTGTCCATGGCTGTTGTGAGAGAAATTGTAAGTTGCCTACTCAAAGTTTCCCCCTTCTATTAAAAAATAGAAGTTGTAATACACTTAGTTGAAAATAAAACCTCCACAGACTCCATGATAGCTAGGAATGGTCATCAAACCTAGTTCTGGCCAATAAGATAATCAAAAATCTATAGAAAACTGTATTTTCCTGATTGAAACTGTTACTTTCCTGATAGAAAGAGACAGACTAGGCAGTCACATGTCTTTTGCCTTTGCATTCTCTCCTGTTTTCTTGGCTAGACATAAAATAACCATCTTGGAAGCATGAAGAAGGACACCATGCTAAAAGGATCATAGAACAAAAAGATGGAACTTGCATGAGCTCTGGACTGCTGACATTGAGACTACATTTTGTCAGAAAAATAAACTCTTCATTTTGTTCAACTACCATAACTTGGTTTCTGTTACAGGCACCAAAAAAGAGTCCTAATACATACAATTGTGTGTGTGTGGTTCCTCCCCACCTCTTCACCCTTATCTCAAACAACTGTCCTCCTCATTTGCTACATTACAGCCCTACCTTTTACTCTTCAAACACAACCTCTTTTCTGCTTCAAGCTATTTGCATGTATTTTTCTCTCTTCCTGGAATAATCTTTTCCCCATTCTGTGCCAGCTAACTTCTACTCATTATTCTTGTCTAAGCATAAGGGACATTTCTTCAGCATGGCCGTCCCTGACCTCCCCAATCCAAATTAGATGTTTTCTTAGTACCTTCAACTTTTTCTTTGTAGTATGTTTTATAGTTTATATTTTTAATTTATTTACAGAATTTTATCCTTTAGTTTAACTTCTATTTTCCCAACTAGACTCTAAGCTCTATAATTGTCAGGGACTGTATTTGTCTTGCCCACAACTAAATATGTATCCAGACCTTATAACAGTGCCTGCCAGAAAGAGGGCACTGAATAATCAGTAGCAATAATGAAAAATCTACTGAAAATTCATGTGCTTTGTGCCATTTTCTCTGCTATACTGAATCAGAATTAATCACTTCACCTTTTATGCTTCGATGCAACATTGCTTTTACATCTATTTTAATTCAACCCTTTTAACAAATAAGGCATGTTTGAATAGATCTCAAAATATGTTCAAGAGGAAAACACATAAAACTAATTTTATAATAAGTGCAACATTTGGAATATGACCAAGATACAAAAGTAGAATACAGGAAAGGGTGATGAACTTAATAAAATAGTAGATATGAGACCAGGAAAAGGTTTCAGGAACTGGTAGCATGTAGGCAGCATTTGAAAACTAAATGGGATTTTCCAGGTAGACAACAGGAGGAAGGAATATCCAAACAGAGTATAGCATGTGCAAATGCCCTTAGTGTGAAAAAGTAGAGGTTCTTCAGTATCAATAAAGTATAAGGAAGGCATTGGGAACATGGTGTGAGTATGCAGTTGAAGAGGAAACAGCTAACATAGTAAATATAGGTTTTCCATGAGATTGTGCTCATAATTCCTTTAAAAAAAAAAAAGCTGGGCCAAAAGAATTAATTAATTAAAAATTTGGCCAAAGAATTATACACAAACAGACCCATGGCTTATATGAGAGGGGATCCAATAAAACCCAGAATTTATTTATAAAAAATTGTGTATTTATTATTACATGCTTCAACTTCAGTCACCTTCAAAGTACACTTCATTTGATGCAATATACCTATTGAGACCTCTTCTCCACTGCTCAAAACAGTTTTAAACTTATCAGTTTTGATGCTTTTTAGTGCTTCTGCAATTTTTTGTTTCACCTCTTCCACATCAGCAAAACATTTGCCTTTAAAGATGTTTTTTTTTTTTTTCCCCATTGGGGAAATAAAAAAAAAGTTACTCTTGGCAAGATCAGGTGAATAAAGAGGGTGGAGCATGGTGATCATGCTCATTTGGTCAAAAACTGCTGAACACTCACCACAGTATGGACAAGTGTGCTTGTAAATCACCCATCATGAAATGGGCAAACACACTGAAAGAGCCTTCAAAAAAACTCACTGAAGCTGAATGCAGGCTCTTGCAACAACGCCAGCTGGTACGTTGATACAGATGGGTTCTTAGAATACCCACCTAGTCAGGAAAGCCTGTACTACAAGAGGCCTACTCTCCAGAATATAATTCTGGTGTTTTCTTTGGGTCTCTCTCATATCTCATGAGTTGCATAATTAATTTCATACATGATCATGTCTGAAACAATTAAAAAATTATTTTCCTTCAACACATTAGAATGTGGATGAAGTCACATGTATGTGCTCCATGGCCCTGCCCAGCTGTGAGAATCATTTGGCTCCATTTCTATTAAGGAAAGTATCCAAAATCAAGGCTAGAGACAAATGGCTATGATGTTACCATAAGTAGCTTTGATTTTATAGACAATAAACATGAAAGGATTTTAAGCATGGAGAGATTATACTTAGATTTGAATTTTAGTAAGATCACCTTGAAGGCAATGGGTGGAAGGCAAGGAAATCAATGAGGCTTCTATTGCAACAGTAAAACTAACTGTGATAACATCAACTAAGGCAGTGGCATTTAAGGATGGAAAGAATAGGATTGATGACATAATTCAGAGACAAAATTGACTGAAGTTTATAGTTGATTAAGCATGGGTGTGAACAAAAAGAGGAAGAAATCAAGGGTCATTTGGAAGTTTCTAATCTAGAGACTAATCATTGTGTCTTCTAGTGACAGAGGTGATACAGAATGAAAACTATATTTGGAAATGGAGATAATTACTTCAGTTTGGTAATTAAGGTGCCTGTGTGCTATTTAATTGGAGATGTGTAGCAGTTTAAATGAACACATGGTCTAGAGCTCTAATAGAGCATCCTGGGTTAGAGATATGCATTTGAGACTTGTCATAGAAGATGACAACATAAATTAAGGCTTTAGCAGCTAACTAGAGAAAAAAGAATGACTTTGAAAACTGTAAGAATTTTCAATCAATATGACTTGGTGACATATTGGATAAAGGGAATATGGAAAAAAGAGGGGAGTCTAGGACGAACCTCAGGTTTCTGAATTTGGAACGTGAGTAGGTGATGGTTCCACTGTTATGGGTTGAATTGTGCCCCACCCCAACAATTTAATATGTTAAAGCCTTAGTACCTATTATCTTAAAATGTGACTATATTTGAAGACAGGACCTTTAAAGAGGTAATTAAGAAAAAATTAGGGATTTATGGATTTACCATAATCCAATATGGCTAGTGTCCTTATAAGAAGAGGAATTGAGACATAGACATACATAGAGGGAGAATGTCATGTGAAAATGAAAAAGGCCATCTACAAGGCAAGCGGGGAGGCCTCAGAAGAAACCAACTCTGCTGACACTTTGATCTTGGACTTCTAGCCTCCAAAGCTGTGAAATATAAATTTCTGTTGTTTAAGCTACATAGTCTGTGGTACTTTGTTATGCAGCTTTAGTAAACTAATATAACCGCCAACCAAGATTAGGAATATAGGAAAGAATGTAGGATGGGAGAAGGGGTTATTAAAAAAAGAGTTTGACACAGAACATGTTTGCTGCATTTGAGATTTCTGAGGCACACCCAGGTAGAGATAGTCAAATGGCTTTGAAATTCAAGAGATGAAATGGGGTTCTAAACACAGATTTAGAAATCATCAACACATCATAAGTGATATTTTAAACTGTAAGAGTGACTGAGATCACCTAAGAAGTGTATAAGATCATCAAGGATAGAACCACAAGGAATGTCAACATTAAGGAACAGATTAAGGAAGAGAACCTAGGAAAGGAAAATAATATGAGAGGATAAAAGAGAGAGAAAACTTATATTTAACCTTTCTAATACTGTTTTTAATTATAATTACTTGAGTACATATTGATCTCAGTCCTCAAAGAGCTTTAACATAGTGGAGACAAAACCCTATTCATTTCTAACTCCCAAATGCCAAGCACAGTACCTGATATTTAATATCCCTACAATAAATATTTACTAAATTGAATGGAATTGAAATCATGACTTCATTACCCTTCTTGTTTTGCTTGCTTAGTTCTGAAGCATGCAGAATATATTGCCACTGATATTTTAAGTTCACAATGAAAAATCATTTCAATGTGTCCTAGGTTTGCTCCCCTTCCAAGCCAACCCCAAGGACAATAGTTTTCATTATAACCTTCTGTCTTTGCCATTTTGGATTGATTTCTGTGCACAGAAGTTATATACATATATAGGTATATCCATGTAACAAATTTCGCACAGGAGCCCCTTGGGCTCCCTCAGGCTCTGGTATGACATATTTGAGCCATATAAATTCAGCTTCTCCTCTGGCATCAGTTAGCCGACTCACTTGCAACTCCACCTCAGCAGTGGTCTCAGTTCTCTCAAAGCCGGGAAAGCGTACTGTGTGCTGAGAGACTATGGCCAAGAATTCTCCAGAGAACTGTGAGGACTGTCACATTCTAAATGTAAGTTGATTCATATTTATTCCCTTTTGAGCAGAAGTATGGCTGCAGAGGTTATTTATCGTATAACAATGTAAACATTAAGAAAGTGTAATCAAAGGTGACTTTGAATTATGGCTTGCTATTCTAAGGATTATTGTGTATTGTTTTATTTTCTCTGTTCTTTGCTTAGGCAGAAGCTTTTAAACCCAAGAAGATATGTAAATCACTTAAGATTTGTGGATTGGTGTTTGGTATCCTGGCCTTAACTCTAATTGTTTTGTTTTGGGGGGGCAAGCACTTCTGGCCAGAGACACCCAAAAAAGTAAGTAAATGCACATTTTGGTCCAGTGCTTCTCTGTTTTGAGTTTGATCGAATTTAATGACATATATATTAGTTTGAAAATGAAAATCATTAAGTTCCTTCTTTGTTTATTTTCTGGTGGTATGAAAAACTGAATTGAAGGTTTTGCTCTCTTTTACTTGCCTAATTATTTTGGAAAAGGAAAAATGTGTTCTCTGTATTTTGGTTAGTAATTACAGGATGTAGAATTCTCCTTTTTTTTTTTTTTTGTAATTCTTTGCTTTAAGGAGTTAAGGCTCTTCATAGAAGCATTTTTTTACTGTAAAAAGAAAATACTTTCCATCTTTCTTTCAATCATCTGGACAGAAACTGATGGAAAAATAATTATACCACCACATAAGAAGAAACCACCAGAAATAGCAGCAAAGGACTTTCAGGGATTATGTTTCTGACTTATTGCATCTGCTGTGAGGATAGGCAGCAAACTCCTTTTCAGAAGGAGCAATTCTCATATCTGAGTTCACATTTATTTACAACTTAAGAAAAATTAACTAGAGCTTTTCAGCTCCTCACCAGCTACAACTGTCATTGTCCCATGGAGACAGCAATGCCACAAGGTAGAAACAAGTAATAAATCACAGGTATCTCAGAAAGCTTCTGATATTAGGGTCATTTGGTGAAACGTGGCTGGCCATTGTAGTTGGTATTAGTTTATCCTAATGTTATTGTTACTTCCAGGCTCACAAGCAATGGGAAAGGCTAGATGTGATTTAAAGAAAATCATAACCCCTTCATGTTGACAACTTTCATTTGAAAGAGAATTAATAAGTGTACAAGCTACAAGGTGCCAAGATGGTTTTCTGACTTTGCCACATTTTTATTTCTGTGTATGGGTTGCTGTTGTTACTATTGTTATTAAATTGTTGTCATGAGATGCTCATTTCTATTTGATAAGATATAGGGAGGGAAAAGCACAAGTTCAAGAGGAAGGAAGAGAGACAAGAAGAAAATAAGTTGGTATGGAACATTAGGAGCCAAAGAAGCGACAGGAGCAGAGAGGAAAGAGTATGGATTGATGCAGAAAGAAAGTGAGTGGGGGAGAAAATAGAAAATCAATTGAACAAATGTCCAAAAGAAAATGGACAAGTAAGGCAAAACCACCTTGTACTTTTCATCTCTGCTGCCATACTCACTTTCATTTCATTTCAGAGGCTACCTTATTTTAAGGAGGGATAATAAAGAGTGAAACAGCATATTTTGTTTGCCTTTTTATTTATGCTTCATTCCAGAAAAGATTTCAGGCATCACCTAATGCTTATAGTTAGCTTGATAGATAGATGATGATAGATGATAGATAGATAGATGATAGATGATAGATAGATGGATGGATAGATAGATATCACTGTTTCTTGCTTCTGAACTATTTACTGTTCATGTGTCTTTCTAGAGAAGCCACATATATTAAAGATAGCAAGGTGGGCAAAGCAATAGAGATCAGGAAGGAAATAGCAAATGAATAAGAGTGCCAAAATGCACTCCATCTAATTCTGCTACCATGTAGCTAATTCACAAGGTGATATGCTGCCCCACACATTGAATCTCGGATCCTCTTGACAATTACAAATGAGTTAGAGGACAATAAATCCTTTTGTTCTCCATGTTCATATGTTTTTAACTAAGTGTTGTAGAGAGCTAGCCCTTTTGACTACTCTTTCATGCCTACCTAAACATGGGGCCAGATTACCTCTCTTGCTTTATTATAACCATTGGTACTGATAGTGCTATTCTGAAAGAATTTATGTGTTTTTCTAAACCTACAATGCTATTTGCCTTAGGGCAACTATAAATGACTATATAGGGACCTTACTTTTATTTTGCCAGGTGCCAAACTCAGTAACGGTGCCCATGGCCTCCTCCATTTCAGTATTATACCACCTTTGCTTCTCACACCAGTTCTCTTTTTTGATGGATTATAAGAACCAGTTCCGTGATTCTTCAAACCAAAAGTAAAACTTAGTCAGTGCATGCACAGAAGAGGTGGGTTATGCTACCAAATGAAGTTTATCAGGAATTAAATCTCTTGCAAGGTAATCTATTTATGATTTAATAGACATGGGCTAATTATTGGCTGATACTGTCAATAAGACTGCCTTGGAGCTGACTTATGAATCTTAAAAAGAACAGAGAAGTCAGATTAATCTTAGAGGAGATTTGCAAAGGAAAATGATATGGGCACTTTGCATGAATTAAATAACCCACACCCTTAAGAACGTAGCATAGTGGGAGCCAACAATTAGCAGATTAAAACCCAGGCTCTTCTGGACTTCCCTTTACAAGCCTGAGGGACCTATGTGTATTGTGGGGTCCTGGAGAGAACTATTGATGCCGTTGTGCTTATAGATGGCAGTGGCTTATTTGTTGCCCTGGGGTTTTATCCAATTTCTTAGTGTTTGCTCCTCTAACCTTCACACCTTCTTTTTATATTGTTTTTAAATATGTTTATAAACAGTGTTTATTTAACATCCCACATCTGGTGTTGACACTTCCTTGCCAGTAAGGCCTCCCCTCCTTCCATTCTTTCTCTCCTTGGTGTGCACAGAAAAAAAAAATCAAAATTCTTGATCCTAAATGGGGAAAAAGCTATGCTTGACTACCTGCTTCTCTTTATGCATCTCTAGCATGAGTACATGTGCATGTGAATGTGCACACATGCACACATGCCAGAGAGAGAAAAGAGTCAAAATAAAGTGAAATAAGGAGAAATAATTCTGGGTTCACTGTTGGACTCCTCTATAGACTAACAAGGCCCCTAAACTACAGCCACATATAGGAGCCACTTGATGTGAATGAAAGCCAATCCATCAATTTCTTGTTTTCAGCTTTCCTAACCAAGGAGAGGGGACATATTCAGTCACAGGGATTTTGAGAGAAAATTACAAGGCTTCACTCCCAGGTCGTGATTGCACAGGAACTTTGGAGCATATGCCCTGGTGAAACATTCTTGCTTAAAGCTCCCTGTATTGCACATTCAACTTGACACCATTAGAAGCTAACTCCCCAGTTAATTAATCCAACAAGGGCAAAAATAGTTAGAAAAATCCCAGCCCTTAAACCAAAAGATTTTAGATGTAACACAGACCTTGTAGCCTATCCCCTCCAATCCTTTATAGAATAAACCAGAAGAATAATAAATTAAATGTTGCTCTTCTTGTCATATCTAGGAACTTCCTTGTGACTTTAGGGCTGTTTGGAAACTATAAGTTTTAAGGCACATACAACAATCAGCAAATTTCTCGGGGCTTCCCCTCAACTTCTACATACTATAAACATGAGATGAGAAGTAATAGAAATAAGTAAGCATCCTTCTGCACTTCCCACTACCTCAATTATTGAAAACCATTAAAATAGTCTCACTCAGGATTGTAAGACCAATATCATTCTAGGATGAAAATCATTTGCTCCAAAAAAGCACCATTTCTGAACATCATTTGCTCAGAAAAAGGCTAAGTCTGAGTCTAGCTTACCTGTGCCTATTTCTCTAATGCTAATATGGCCAGAGACTAACTTTATTCACTCTTCTTTGAGGCACACAGAAGATACAACTTTCCTTCCTGAGTTCCCTGGGCTTTCCTACACAGCAGTTTGGTGGATGCAACATGGGTCTGGAGGAACATTCATATCCTCAAGGAAAAAGTTGGAGTTTTAGTTGAAATCTCTAACAGGTTGACCAGTGCCATGTCAGCATTTTAAAAGAGAAGACTTCTCTTAATTTTATTTTCCTCCTAAGGCATTGTGAGAGAAAGCCCACTTTTGAATCAGAACTCTCACTGGGCCAGCTCTTGCTCTGGACTAATCATGGCCTCTCTTATTATGTAGATCAGGACTCTGGCTATGATGGGCACATTCTTATTCAGTTGCTTCTTTCTTCAAAGGCAGCATATGTTAAGCAACCAGCAATGAAAGCCTGGGTCATCAGTGGGAGCTGTCCTTTAGTAGCTAAGAGTGAAACTGGGGCTGTAAGGGGAAAGCAACCCAAGTGATCAACAGGTAGTGGCAGTCCACTGGTCAACCTGACAAGGCATCAGTCTAAATCTGAGCAGAACTGATTTTGTCAGTTATTCTACATTGTATCTGGCAAGAGGTGGGAGGTAAAAATGAAAACTGAGCCTCCAGAGACATTTGGTGACTTTCCCAAAGTCACACAGCTCATAAGTGGCAGAGTTGAGGCTGGCAGTAAAATCTGGTCTAAGGATTCTTTCCACTATTTTCCACTGCATTTAAGGATAATGGGTAGGTGTGGGGGTGAATAGGGGGAAATTTCCCAGCCAGCTTGAGTCTATAGATGAAAGAAATGATATTTTTCTTGTTGAAAAAGAGGAATGTCTATGCTGCTTATGCCAATTTTTTTCAGGGCTGAGAACTGGTGATTGAAGATGCAGAAGTCCAACTTTGCATGAGAAACAATCTGCTCTGTATTGGTAAAGAAATACCCAGAGACCCTTTAATTCCCACAGGCTAGGTTGGTAATAATATGGTACAATGCATTCCCTTCCCTTCCTTCCAGTTTAACACTTGCTAGCTAGCAATTCTGAGCATGTATTTCACCTTTGAAGAGTGTAAAAAACCTAAGCCAAATGCCCTCAAACCCTATTTAAGACAGGCTAAACCTACGTGCCACGCTCCCTCCCAAACAGCTTCATCACACTGAGGTCTGAGGCAGCTTTACTCTTTATAAAAAGCTTTCTTTTCTAACCTTAAAAATTGTCACAAATTGAGGCAAGAAAACTGGGCAAACTGTGAAAGGAGGACATTAGGGCTCATTTGCTGCCTGAGCTGAGGATTTAACTGGACCAAGGAAAGAATTCCTGGCCAGGGTAGCAAAATGAGTTTGTGTCTTCTCCATGTATTCTCAGTGTGATCTTACATGTCTCATTGCCTGGGGCTTAAACATGTACGTGTCTCATTTCATTTCTGAGTCATATTTCACTCCATTGACTTCCCTGTCTCACTCTAGTATGCTGACCTTTATAGCTAAAACCAGCCTTATGTGTGGTTGGAAAGATGTCTTTAGTCCCTCAAATAGCTCCTATTTCTGCTGCTATTGTGCTTAAAATCCACCATTAGTAATTCAGTCCTTTTAGTTAAGTATTGCACTAAATTGTTTTAACAGGCAAATACAGATAGCTAGCATCTTAGTGTGAAATCATTTGTAAGATTGATTTTTTCCTTTGACATAAGATATGTGAAGCACCATGAGATTCATAGGTGTCTAGACAGGAGAAAAAGGGTTAGAATGAAATAGGAAGAAGGAAAAGGACTTAGAGGGTATAAAGTAAACAGGACATGAAAAGAACAGAAAAGGGAAGCTAGAAGCCTTCCTGAATTAATATTCTCAATGTTCCAATTTGACAGATGTATTTGTCCTTGCTCTGTCCTTTCTGGAATAAAGCTGAGTTGTGGGCACTCTGATATGAGATACTTGGAGCCCATGCACACCTCTCTCAGGCCAGCCATACTGTCTCTGCTTTAGTTTGTGCCTGGAAATAACAAAACCACTTATTCTTTCATCTCCATAAAGACCCTCAGCCCCTGAGCCAGTGAACTTAGTAGAGAGAAAATTACTTCTGAGGCCAAAGGCATGAGCTAAGTCTTCATGTGGGCCAGTGAAGCTTGCATAACCATTACCCAGGCAATGTGCTCCACAGGGACCCGGGCGAGACAGTATGTCTGGATTTGCTCAAACTCATCCCCAAATAATCCAAAATGAGACACCAACATCATCTTCCTAGACAAAAGACAGTCTGTTCCAAATGGACTCCTATGGTAGTGGAATTCCATCTGGGTGAATATGTAGCTCTCTACCCTTCACTTACCTTCACCCAGGATTTACACATAAATGAAGTCACTCTGATCCCACTCTATTTTGCAACCTACCATTGTTAACAAGAAAGCCAACAAGAAGGTCAATGAATACAGTCAGAATGGACCCCTTCTCCTCCACTAAAACAAAACAAAATACTTTGAAAGAATGTTGAAAATAACCAAGATCTGCTGAGCATGGCAGTTTCCAAAAGTTTTCATCTAGCAAGGAGTCCAAGTGAAGCACATTGCCAACAATGCAGGAAAACTCATTTCACAAAAGTACACTGAAATTCTAAATGTCACCAGTATGATTCCATAGTCTTCTGTGAGTGATTGAAAATACAGCCTGTATTTTCTCTTTTGCCCAGGTAGGCAGCCTTCCAACATCTCCTGGTCTATAACCTCATTTTTCCATGCAATAGTCCATCAGCGGTGCTACTGATGAAACAAACACCCCACCCCACCCCACCCCCAATGACTAGGGATGTTAACATTTGTCTCAACAATGAATAGTATTTCTATAGCAATTCTCCCCTATTGGGAGATCTGAGAAGACTAGAACTGAAGTAGATGCGTTTCTCCTCTTCTTAGGTCAGGTAAACTGAGAGCTCAATTTGTTGCCATAAGTAGAAGTTTCCCAAGCTGGCTGCAGAACTGGGGCTGAGGAAATATTTACAACTAGAAGCACATAACAAGCCTAAAGGAATTAGCTACCTGTCACAAACCAGGGCAGACTTCCTGAATTAACTCTGCAATTGCTAGTAGGTTCCAAATACTGTTTTCCTTTCCCTTTTAAAATACAGTCTCTTAAAAAACTTTGCCAATGCTCAAAATCTCTCCTTAACAAGATAAGAAATTGCCATTGGTAGGAAAAACTTATTGAATAAATATTTAAGTACTGGCCATGTCCAAGGCACTGTAAGGTTACTAAGAGATAAGGGACATTGTTTCTCATTCTCCTATTTAGCAACTACACAGACTTTTAATGCTTGAAGTACCATTGTTTCTACAAACCCTTCCAACTTGTTTTTCTACTTGAGTTGGGGAAAATTTTAACAAGTTAAACTAACATTCAGTCACAGGCACTGGCAGACATTAAAAAACAATCTAAACCAGTGCAAGTTCTAAAAAGTTGCCCCTGGGAATCGTATCATTAGAAAGCAACATTGGTTCTGTAGATGACTTGCTTTTCTCAGGCTTTTAGTTTATCAAGTTTTTTTTTTTCATAAGGAAAAATGAATGTAAAGAAACTTGATAGCTGAAGTCCTCCTAACAAGATAGACTTCCACATGGTACCATCAGATCTGGCCTGGTTTGTGACAGGGAACAAATACTTTTAGGCTTGTTATTTGCTTTTAGTTATAAAAATGTCCTCAGGTATAAGTAATGGATTTACTCCTAAACTGGGACACTCTGTAGGACTGGCCCTTTTCATCTTTAGAAAGAGAACTACCTCTTTTAGAGGGCAGGATAAAGTCCAAGGTTTCATTCCAACCACTCAAGAATGACTTGATAAGCACCTTTTCCAAGGCATTCTCTTTGGTAAACTCCATGTTACTTATTGCAAGGTACTTGACACAGTTGTTGAATTCTACATAGAGGATAATCTAGAGAACTGGAAACCAACTATATCAGGTTTGGCAAACATAATTCAGGAATAAACTAAGGGGGGTTGGTTAAGCCATAAAAGAGGTTAGGGGAAGGTGGTAAATGTTTTCTGGAGTTTAAAGGGAAAAAGGAAGCAATTTGGACCAGTGTAACATTATTACTTAAAATTGGACAAAGAGTGAATGGGTTCAAATTTCTCCATTGAGAAATGGTTTGTGCAGGTTACACACGTAGAGCAGGTATGAAAATAGCATTGATTTTGCTAACAAAGCTGGTCATCATACCAAACTTATTTTATACAGTCCCTTTCAATGTCTCCCAATGTTTTTATAGATAAAGGACAAAGGAACTAAGACTTGAGAGTTTTAAATAACTAAGTAAAAATTATACAAAACCATATTTCACTGAATAAATAAAAACACTGAAATCATAAAGCTAAAACAAAACAAAAAAGAAAAGGGAAAGCCTTATTAAAAGTTGGGGGGGGCATGTCGAAGTCAAAAGACAAGTAAGAACCAGATATTGTTGACATAAGAAACATCCAAACCAGTAAGAATTTTTGTGAGTTTATTTGAGCCATACTGACAATTGTCAGGAAGCGAAATCTCAATGGATTTAGAAAACGCTCCAGAGCATTAGTGTTTAAATCTTTGTCTCAAACCTAATGAATTTAATGGGTAGTGAGGGGGTGTCCATTGAGCATTGAGCTTAGTTTAAAGAAATAGCACAGGTTTTAGGTGATACCTCTGCTCAACACAAGGGGAAACACTTTACAGGCTGTTTTGCAAAATATCATTTGCTATTTAGTCAAGATTACCAAGAAAACTGTTGGAATTCTTAGTGATTAGTTCAGCAACTTGGCCTGAATACAAAATACTGGCTCTGAAGTGATCCCCATCTCCAGTGCCAAAAAGCATCTCACTTTAATCTTGAGCCTCAGGAAATTCCCAATGGCAAGCTGATGAGATGGCACCTCACTACAGATTCTGGAAATAAAAATGCACCCTAGATATTACCCAATTAAAGTGTCATATGAAGGGATACACTGAGTATCTTAGAACTTGTTTCCCTCTGTTTTCCCAGACATATGACATGGAGCACACGTTCTACAGCAACGGCGAAAAGAAGAAGATTTACATGGAAATTGATCCTGTAACCAGAACTGAAATATTCAGAAGTGGAAATGGCACTGATGAAACATTGGAAGTACATGACTTTAAAAATGTAAGTTAGATACTTTTCCCCAAAGGCTTCTCACTTAAAATATTAGAATATTTTAGTTGAGTTATAAATAGCGTGTAGCCTTCATTTAATTTGTAAGACAAAGCTTTCCCTTTGAATTCAAATTTTGCCAGCTTAGGGTCCTGACAGACCATGGAACTCATTAATTGTGGCTCTTTTAGAAGGTTTTTCTCTTTTTGTTTTATAGGGATACACTGGGATCTACTTCATAGGTCTTCAAAAATGCTTTATCAAAACTCAGATCAAAGTGATTCCTGAATTTTCTGAACCAGAAGAGGAAATAGATGAGGTATGTATAAATAATAATGGCAGTAAAAACCATCATTTATTGGGTGTTAACTATGTGTCAGACATTGCATTAAATGCTTTACTCTTGTTTGATTCTCACTTGGACCCTATAGATTGGTACTATTATTATCCCCATTTTCAGAGGAGGAAACTGGGACTCAGAACCAAAAGGTGACTTTCCCAAGGTCACACAGATAGTGAGGAGCAGATTGGGATACTGAACTCGGGCCTTTCAAAAAAAAATAAGTTCATGCTTTTAGGTGCAACACTGTACTTTTATACCTGTGTAGTCATTAGCATTATGTACCTTTGCTCCCAAACCAAAGATTTCTAGTAAAATGGGTGAGCAGAACAAAATCAACCTGCACAAGATAAAGACCTAAAAAGAAAAGTTCCAAGGCTACTGGGGAGCTTTGCCACTTTTGTCACACTATCACTTACCTATTTCAAAGATTTCAATTCATTCTCCTTACCATTTTATGCTAGGCTGCTAAAGGAATAATCTACATTTAATCACCAAGAAAGGCAAAAGCAAAGAAGGTGAGAACCACAGTGTAATACAGTTTCTGTGAAAACGTACTGGTAGGTCAGGGCACTGGTGCAATTATTGTGTAGCCTCTGAAAGCCTAGTGCAAAATGAAGGATTATTGCCTAAAGTATAGCCACCAAAAAAGCCCTTGAGGGTTTTAATTTTGCCTCCATATTCTATCTGTTATTACATTATGTTGTTATCAGTGGAGGAAGAAGGGGAACGTGAGCTAAGGCCATACTGTGACAGCATAACCCTGCTGTAGCCAGGAAGAAACAAATGCCTGTCTGGTTTGGTTGGTTCTGTTTTACAGTTTAATTGGCAAATCTAAAGTGAGATTATGGCAATAGCACAGTGGCCTCTCTATATACTGGAAATACCTCTTTCTCTTCTCTTTCTCCCCTGTTCTTCTTCACTTTTTTCTTTCCCACTTTCTCCATCTTAATTATCATATATCCATTTATATTTTCCTTTATTATTCTTATTTTTTGGAATTAGATGGGATGAGAAGTACTTTTTCCTTTCCCTTACCCAAGTTTTAGAGCTGTCATTGTCTCCTATAGACATGCTACTATTCTCATGCCCAGAGAAACTATAGACACTCAGTACTAGAATTTCTAAGAAAAAGATTTCCTACAGTCTATGGTAGTAAAAAAGAAATTGTAGATTTAAAAAAATAAGCAGAAGTTAGATGCATCTGAGAAACAGAACAACTTTTAGGATATTTGAAAAAATAAATAAATTTTAAAAAAAGAAATAATATAGGAAGCAAGAGTAATATGAAAGAAGAATGAATAGGCTAAAAAGCTACTAAACCCAATATCATATGCTACTTTTTACAGAAAATAATGTAAGCTTTTGTGTAGGTCCAGCCAGCAATTAGAGTTCAAACTAACACAACAGGATTTATTTTTCTGAAATAAGTAAATAAATAAATAAAGGTAAAGACACATAATGTCTCATTTTGGCCTTAATTAATTATTCAGTTAATTTTACTATGTTAAATAACTCAAGTATTCATGTTGTGAAAGCAAGATTATTTATCTTCAAGAAAAGCCTATTTTTTATATTCAGGCTACAGATAAATTATAAGATAAATTTGTAGTCCTGCATGACAAATCCCATCTTATTCTGTGTTTCCCTCACCTTTGTATCCATGGTTTGTGCATGTTACACATGTAGAGCAGGTATGAAAATAACACTGATTTTGCTAACAAAGCTAGTCAGCATACCAAACTTATTTTATACAGTCCCTTTCAATGTCTCCCAATGTTTTTATAGATAAAGGACAAAGGAACTAAGACTTGAGAGTTTTAAATAACTAAGTAAAAATTATACAAAACCATATTTCACTGAATAAATAAAAACACTGAAATCATAAAGCTAAAACAAAAAAGAAAAGGGAAAGCCTTATTAAAAGTATGGGGGGGGGAATGTCGAAGTCAAAAGACAAGTAAGAACCAGATATTGTTGACATAAGAAACATCCAAACCAGTAAGAATTTTTGTGAGTTTATTTGAGCCATACTGACAATTGTCAGGAAGCAAAATCTCAATGGATTGAGAAAATGCTCCAGAGAATGGTAGTTTTGCAACTTATTTTATATATAATAATCAAAAGAAGAGGCAGAAGGGGGTTACGTGAAATCCATTGGTGATAGATTAGGGAGGCGGGAGGAAGCAAAGGGAGATCTCTGGGATTGGTTAAAAAATAAAATGAATAGACACATACTTCTTTTACATTAGTGGGTAAAGGATAGTGAACAGTTAATAATTAGCATAATAATGATAACAATGAAGGGTTTTGTGGTCTCTGCTCTGATGGGAGATTTTGTCCTGAGTAGTGTGAAAAAAGAAAATTACCCTGACATTCCAAAGATATGTTACCATAGATGAAAAAAGACAATAGACAGCCTTAGTTGAGATAAAAATTGGCCTTTGTTAGGGAAGATATTGGCCTAAGACATGATTACCCACCATGACTCACTTTTAGTTAGAAAGTTTTATGCTCAGACCATTATATGTGGTTCCTTTTGGTCTCTGAGTTAATAAGGACTCCATGCAGCCCTCACCTGAGCTTGTTAGGTTTAGTACTTGACCCGTTTTTCGTGCACAGTATACAAAACAACTACTTCCAATACTAGAAACTGAGGAGAAAGTGGCATTCTTGACAATATAAGAAAGGCTACCTAAAGGTAAAGCAGTCTGTAAGACAAACTCTAAGCATCTAAAATGAAAGGAGTTCTATAGTGGTAAGGTCATTCAAGCCACAAGCTAGAGATTTGACTTTAAAAACAAAAAGGACATCTTTTGCCTTCCTCCTAACTACCATTAACAGGCAAATTGTATAAAACTAAACTATTAGATTTGGTTGCTATTTCACTGATCTCACCAGTTTAAATTATAGCAGGGTTGTTTCTTTTTTTTCAGTTTCAGGTCAAATGTTGCTTGAAACCATAGATAAAAAACAAAATAAAAAGTCAGGCACTCAAGGCATACATTTAAAAGACGGAAATCAAATTCAAATCACTTAAGACTTCAGAAACCCAAATTTAAAAATACATGGCCCAGTTAGAGGCCCAGATATTGATGGAGAGCCTTCCTGACTTTAAGTGAAATGGTAGCAGAGAAAGTTCCTGTTTCAGTGAGCAACATTACTGTTAGAAAGGATTGGTTGTTAATCCTCCCAAGAGGCACCTACTATATGCATGGGACAGAGCTAATTCACTGGCAGCCTTAGGATTGAAATTATTATTCAGAATCAAAATATAGGGATTTTTTCAGTATTCCATAATGTCTCACTCACTTATTAATTTCTCTGCCTATCCCCACTCTGAACTACTTTCTTTTCTCAGAATGAAGAAATTACCACAACTTTCTTTGAACAGTCAGTGATTTGGGTCCCAGCAGAAAAGCCTATTGAAAACCGAGACTTCCTGAAAAATTCCAGAATTCTGGAGATTTGTGATAATGTGACCATGTATTGGATCAATCCCACTCTAATAGCAGGTATGACCTTCTCCTCCTCTTTTTCCTCCTCCTCTTCTTCCTCCTCCTCCTCCTTTTTCTTCTTCTTTCTCCAATATCAGTAACAGGTTAATGTTCCCAGCATTTAGAGACTACTTTTCTATGAAAACAAATGATCTTCTTATATCTTCTTAGATGAAACTGTATATACTGCCTGCCAGTGAGGATAATATTTTTCACAACCAAGTTACAAATCAGATAAATTAATGATGACAGTCTTTTAAATATCTCAGCAAAGGTAACACCACCTTAATGTGACTAGTGATAGTATAAAGCTAATTTATCTTTCTTTGCACATCTATATTCATTGCATTTGGGATACCAAACTATTTTTCAAACCACTGTGTGTTCAACCCAAGACCAGAGGTGAGAAAAGCTAAAAACAATGCTCTGTTGTCTTAAGAATAATTTTCTATGTCAAATGGTGTCATTCTCCCCATATGATAGGACAGTCACTGCAATACAAATGCAATGATCAAAACTAAGACATTTGCATTGGTACAATACTAGTAACGAATTTACAGACATTGTTCAGAGTTCGTGGCTGTTTTAGGAATCACTATAAAAGTAATTGAGTGCTAGAGGGCCAGAGTAGAACAGCCCAGCTCTCAACTTTCAGTCAGTCCATAGGGAACACAAAATGTCTTTGGATATCTTTTTCTGCTTGGCTAACATAGAACTTGGCCTCCCTCATTCTGGACAGCACAGATTACTATATTACCTAAAAGGGGTCCCTGTAACCAGTGCACACACCTATTGGTACTCTTGTGCCTTAAAAAAGGCAACTAAATGCAATGTAGAATCCTGGATTGTATGCTAGAACTTCTGCTTCAGCATTATTTTTCTAAAAGACATTAGCGAAAATAATGATGAACTCTGAACAATGTCTGTAAATTAGTTACTAGTATTGTACCAATGCAAATGTCTTAGTTTTGATCATTGTATTATGGTTATGTAAGATGTTAACATTAAGAGAAAATGGAACTCTGCACTATCTTTGCAACTCTTCTGTGAATCTAAGATTATGTCTAAATTGAAAGTTTAAAAAAAATTAAGACAGTAAAGATAAGGGGAGAGGGAGGATGACAGAGAGAAATCAAAACAGACAACATAAAAATATTTGAGTACCTACCAGGGGTAAAATCTTTGTGGAAGACACAAAGGTCCCCTGTCCTCAGTTTCTAATTTAGTATGCTAATGAAGCAAAGCTTTAAGTGTTTGATGCCAAATGAGCAAAGAAGAGGTCTGTTCACATGGAAATAGTTATATATGTTTTGGAAAATCTCCTTAAAAATATCAGCTGTAAGAGCTTGGAAAAGCAATTCATGCATGCCTACATGATGGCAGTGAGAAGACACAAGGAAAATCTTCACCCTCAAATGCTATCCTCCCCATCACTTCTTTCAGAAACTTTTGCAAAGTAGTTGTATCTCAAAATTGTATTTATTACCTTAGTTTCAGAATTACAAGATTTTGAAGAGGATGGTGAAGATCTTCAGTTTCCTACTACCAAAAAAAAGGGCATTGAACAAAATGAGCAGTGGGTTGTCCCTCAAGTGAAGATGGAGAAGACACGTCACACCAGACAAGCAAGTGAAGAACTCCCAATAAATGACTACGTGAGTTATGTTCCTGTTCTCTTGTTAGATGAAATTCAAAGCCCTCAAAAATCTCACTATCCCTTAGATCATAGTTGTTGAAAGGAGAATGATAAGTTTTAACAAAACATATTTAAGGAACTTGAAATGCCCAGGAGGCTCATTTAAAATCAGCCTTGATCGCTATTGGGGTATCCCCATGGTCAGGCTAAAGAACGTAATTTCCCAACAGTCCCCAACTGATATAGTACCCCCTTGCTTGGTGGACCTCTTCCTAGTGAGCCTTCCCTTCCAACACTGGCTTCTTCTTTTTTCAGACTGAAAATGGAATAGAATTTGACCCCATGCTGGATGAGAGAGGTTATTGCTGTATTTACTGCCGTCGCGGCAACCGCTACTGTCGCCGTGTCTGTGAACCTTTACTAGGTTACTACCCGTATCCATACTGCTACCAAGGAGGGCGGGTTATCTGTCGTGTTATCATGCCTTGTAACTGGTGGGTGGCCCGCATGCTGGGGAGGGTCTAGTAGCAAGTTTGAGCTCATTGCTTAAACTTCAGACAGCCAACGTATAATAAATGCATGCTATTCAATGAATTTCTGCCTATGAGGCATTTGCCTCCTGGCAGCCAGTACTCCAGAATTACTTGCTGGTAATTCCTCTCTCATGTTTTAATAAACTTCTACATCATTACCTATAGCCTTCTTGCTGCTGAACAGACTGTGTTTGCTAAGAATATTTTCTGCAACTGAGAGAGCGCAGATCTGTTTAATATGGAAGACAACAATGGAAACTTGCATTTCATCATGTTTGGGGAGTAGGAAAGGGCAAAGCATAATTCTCAAATGCCATATTTTACACTGCTGTATTGAGAAAGTGGAAATGAGAGGCCAATGATAAAAATGTCCCTGTAACTAATGCATAAAATAGTGTACTTTTGTGCATATCCCCAATGTTAATTATGTGAGAGACATATTGTGGACCCACTTAAGCATCTAGTAAACCACTGGACAGGTAGTGAGTCACAGCAGGCCAACACTAAAATGTTCCAAGTGCTCAGACTCAGCAAAGGAGAATGCTAGCCTAGGGGAAAAAAAGGGGGATCCCAGGCTCTCCTCCTGTGAATAGGAACTCAACTTTGTTCAAATTTAACACTTCATAACCTTTAAGTCTGATCTGACTTTAGATTTGCATCTGGTTATATAACTTTCCAAGGCAATTGTCTGGAAAGAGTGGATCCATAAATATCATTCAGAGAAACAGGCATTATAAGAAATTACTGAGGTGAGGAGTCAAATGGGACTTTTTTCCCCCTCCAAAACCATAAGTAACTAGCAGTATGCCACTTTCTTAAAAGGAAGGGTAAGGTCCAGTTCCTGATCACCTGATACTTAGCTTGGGAAAGAAAAAAGGATAAAGGGGAGAGGAAAATAAGTGGTTAATGTTAATAAAGTGGTAATGTTAACCTTGATGTCTCAGCCAGTTCCAGTTCCAAAATTCCTATTTGACCAATCTCTCTACTTCCATTTTCATTTGAAGGCAACCCCTTCATTTTTCAACTTCAATTTATTGTGTCATGACAGTATCTGTCTGAAACTTTACATCAGAAAAGCATTTTCAAAGAGTAAAATCTTCACTTAGATGCCTGTGGAACAGGAATATCTTCCCCCCATTTAATTGAGGAAGCAAATAGAACTGGATTTGCCCAAGGATGTGTTAAGATTAGCCAGTCATTAATTGATAATTAGCATGCATAGTCTAGTTGAAATACCAATTTTCACAGAAAGACAACACAATAAAACATAACTGACAATGAAACATCACTGAAAATATTTTCTTATTATTAATGATTTAGAAGTCATCTGAGAATTTTGGAGTACTTTAATGATCATAACAGGCATTAATTTATAGCTGAAACAGAAAAATGTAAAATATATGAAACTAATTTGAGGTCATGTGAAATTTATGATGTTCTCTACATTTATTAATTAATTATTCATTTTTAACATTGGTTTTTAAGATCAGCCAATAATTAAAAATTCCTGACCTGATCAATTTTATACAGTTTACATTGTACTATATATATTGTACTATGTTCTGTAGGGGGTAAAAATGAAGTAGAAGATATACTAGTTATTTTCTAAGCAAAATAAGACAGCCAAAATATACAAGGTCTGTCCAGAAAGTATCTGTCCATGTAATATGAAAAATAGAGACACTTATTGAAGATGATACAGGATACAAGAAACATTGTGTGTGTGTTTGTGTGTGTGTGTGTTTGTGTGTGTGTGTGTGTGTGTATGACAATGATGCCCCTTCAAAGTAAGTACCTTGGACCTCACACAGTTCTCTCAATTGCTATCATCTCCTCTGTTATATTTTCTTGAATCTCATCAATGGTCTGAAATCTCTTCCCTTTCAAAGGTGATTTTAGTTTGGGGAAAAATCAGAAGTTGCTGGGTACCAAATCTGGGTTGTAAGAGGGCTGAGTCACCTGGGTGATTTGATGTTTCACCAAAGACCTCTGCACAAGATGCGATGCATGAGCGGGCACATTGTCATGATAAAGCTGCCAATCACTAGTTGCCCATAGCTGTGGCCTCCTGAACACCCTTCCCTTAACCAAGCCTCCTCATCATGTGGAATGACACCAAAGTAACTTTGACCTCCTAAGCCAGAGACCTTACAATAATTCTAAGGCATCTCTGTCTTCTGCCCATCTCATGCTGAATACATCCAGCTTGTTCTCCTAAACAATCATTTATGCTTATGGTCCAGGTCACGAGTTATTTTTTAGCACAGCCATTACAACCTCCTCCCTGATGAAGTTTCCAGGTTGTAGCTTGAAAGTAGAATGAATGTTTTTACATAAAGTTTATTTTTCACTTATAGATTTTATAAATGCCATTTCCGTCCCTGAAAGTTTGTAATAGCTACTGACTACCTTAAGAATATGTCTATCTTGCATTCAAACAGTCCTTCATCAAACCACCTTTATTTAACCACCATCTCATATCCCCTTTCTCCTCCTATTACACTACACACTCCCTTTGTTTATCTCAGGTACCTTAGCTTCACACTCTATTTGTGTAGTTTTTTCATCTCTTTTACAGACTTTTCTCTCACTAATTTGAAGAGGTTAAAAATTTCGTTATACTCTTACATTAAATGAAACTGAAACCCCCTCTATTTCATTCTGTACCTGTATATCACTCAATTTAATATTTATATATGAGTTTACTTGCAAATTCTAAAAGAGAGCCCATATACTCTCCTATTTTTCTCTGTCCAGAATCTAGCACAGTACCAAAAGCATATCAGCAGCCTTTAATTTTTTTTATTAAAGGAAATGGGAAAGAAGAGAAGGAAAAAGGTAGAGAGAAAAGACATGATTATAAAAGAGCACAGCTACAAAACTTTTCAGAATATTAAAAAGTTTGCCCTGAGTTCTATTGAAATTTGAGATGAAATTTCTTATCTTACTTAAATTTATTTTGGTATTCCTTGCCTTTTGACACAGCCCATTTCTACAAGCATGAACTGTTCCTCTAATCCAGCGATTTACAACATTTTTCATCTCATGGAATACATAAACTAATTACTAAAATTCTACAGCGCACACAAAAATATACGTTTTGCTTGATCTAACAAAAACAAAAGGTACAATTCTCATTCACACTGGGTGGCTGTTGTTGTGTTGACTGTTGTCATTTTTTCATTTGACTCTAAGGGAAAGAAGGTCAGTGCTGCTCACTAAATTGTCTGTTGTTGAATGTATTTTTATTTATTTTTTTTATTGTTCAAGTATAGTCGTCTCCATTTTCTTGCCACCACTTTTCCCTACCACACTCACCCCCACCTCCCATCTTTAATCCTTCCCCATTTTGGCTTTGTCCATGGGTCCTTTATACATGTTCCTTGACTTGATCCTTCCCCTTCTTTTCCTTGTTACCACCCCCCTCCTCCCCTCAAGATACTGTTGGTTTGTTATTTCTTTCAATGTTACTGGTTATATCTTCCCCGCTTGTTAGTTTTGTTGATTAGGTTCCATTTATAGGTCAGATTATATGGTATTTTTCTTTCATCACCTGGCTTACTTCACTTAGGATAATGTTCCCCAGTTCCATCCATGCTATAGCTCTTTCTTTCTGCTTTGCAGTATTCCATTGTGTAAATGCACCATAGTTTTTTGATCCACTCATTTACTGATGGGCAGTGAGGTTGCTTCCAATAATTGGCTATTGTAAATTGGGCTGCTATGAACATTCGGGTGCATAGGTGCTTTTGAACTGGTGTTTTGGGATTCTTGGGGTATAATTCCAGCAGTGCACTTGCTGAGTCAAAAGGCATTTCCATTCTTAGCTTTTTGAGGAAATTCCAATCTGTTCTCCACAGTAGCTGCACCAGTCTGCATGCCTACACTAGTAATGCAGTTGATAGGAAGGACCTAATAATAACTCTGAAGACCCCTGGCGGGGGAAACCAGGCCTAGAAGTAAATTACATTTCTTGAAGCATGTTTTGTTTCTCCCTCAAGCTCTGTTAATCTTATACCAGGTAACCAGCTCAGGGTTGGGAAAGAAATTTACAAAATTCCTGGACCAAGACCCAAATCCCACCTGGGCCATAGTGTTTGCTCATCTCAAACCCAAGCAGTTCAGTGTGTTTCTTCCATTGTCTTCTTTAAACAACACCTATTCCCTATATGCTTAAGTTACTGATGTAATTAGATTATCTATACATTCCTGCTACCTATCCTCCCATTGTTACCCTATCAACAACCAATAAGCACAGGGGCTCAGGACATTCTCCTTTAGAGAGAATCACCTTCCTGTATCCTTGACTGGCAAATGGTGTCTGGAATGACTCATTCTTTCATCTGTGGGGAACCGGGGGACTTCGCGGGCTGGAGTACCCCATAACAACCACTGCCTCTCCAGCACTTATTATTTGTTGATTTGTTTATTATGGCCACTTTGACAGGTGTGAAGTGATATCTCATTGTGGTTTGAACTTGCATTTCTCTGATTGCTAGTGATGCTGAGCATTCTTTCATATATCTATGACCCCTCTGTATGTCCTCTTTGGAGAAGTGTCTATTCAAGTCTATTGCCCATTTTTTAACTGGGTTGTTTATCTTTCTGGAGTGGAATTGTGGGAATTTTTTATACATTTTGGAGATCAAACCCTTGTCTGAGGTATCATTGTCAATATAGTTGCCAATGATATGGTTGGTTCCCTTTTCATTTTGCTAATGTTTTCTTTAGCCATGCAAAAGCTTCTTATTTTGATGAAATCTCATTTGTTTATTCTTTCCTTTATGTCCCTTGCTCTAGGGGACATATCAGTAAAAATATTGCTGCATGGACTATCTGAAAGTTTCCTCCCTATTTTCTCCTCTAGGACTTTTATGGGGTAATGGCTTATATGTAAGTATTTTATCCATCTTAAGTTTATTTTTGGGTATGGTGTGAGTTGGTGGTCGAGTTTAACTTTTTTGCCTGTAACTGTACAGATCTTCCAACACC